TAACAGAGAACGATTTACCGATCCCAGGACCTGATGCTCAGCCCACCCCAGAGCCACACCGAGCCCACCCCTGCCCGACTGGCCCCCTTTTATGGTGAGCATGATGTCACATGGTATGGAATAGCCCCCGGCCAGCTTGGCTCACCTGTCCTGGCTCCTTGGGAAATTAACTCTATCCTTGCCAGAACCAGGACAGCCCTTCTGTGGATTCTCATGCAAACATAAAAGTAATGCAGGTGTAATTTCTATACTGAACTATTGCTTCTCCCTTTTTAAGAATAAGAAAGTGTTTTACAGTTGTGAATAGGTTATTTGTAATACATGGGAAAACCAAGGAACAGGAAATATTAGTTTATTTAGTATCCCACTAAGAGCTGCAAACTCTTCTAGAAGTAGAATAGAAGCCTATTAACTAGGCAGTACATACAGTTTTTGACAGCTAAAAATGTAAACGCATAAATCTTAGTTTAAGATATGATCTTATGGACTGAATATAGTGTAACAAGCTCATAAATAGGTCTCTTCAAAAGCCCCAAATGTATCTAATGATCTCTGATACTGATAGCATTTTTAGGCCACAAATTCACAATAACTTGTAAGAAAGGCTCCAGATAGTACAATACATTTTTCCTGCAATAAACACAAAATGCAAGGAAGGGACACTCCACTTCCATTCCTCCTTTCTCCCTGGGAAAATATTCGGCAGACATAAAATCTTAATTCACTAGCACTGTAAAGTCAAGACACAATTTTCACTATCTAGTCAGTCAAGTAAGGTAACATTTAAGCCCCAGCCTGTAGTGAGGAGGTAATCTTTAAGAACAGCCAATTACATGTCCATAGAGAAACAGATAAAATCGTGTGCAGTAAAAACCGATGACATTTGACTGCTTGCAATAAAGAAACAGAGTCCTGTCAAACATCAATCAAGATTTTAAAAATAAGCTTTTTAGTGATAATCTTAGCTTCTTATTTTACTATTTAGTGGGAAAGAAGAATTTTTATTACAGAAAAAGAAATTATAAATTTCAAGCCTAAATGCAACTTCCTGTTATATTTAATTTATGAGCCCAAACAGGAGAAGTTCAATGCTAGTGTCACACAAAGCTACATATAATGCTTGGTAGTTATTGAAAAAATAAATTGCTACTTTACTACTTTTTTTTTCTGTTAACTTTATACATTAAAAACTTATTTATAATTTCCAAATTGATGCAGAATGCATAATTTTTAAAAAAGATTATTTTCAAGATCACCCAGGCATTCCATATTTAGTTGAATGAGTGAATACTCATCTTTTAACAGAAAGTAATTAGCTACTGAGAGGACTAATACTCAAATCTTGGCAGCTGTGAAGCTTCTAACATTACACAGAAACTCTCAAACTTCCAAAAGGCTAGCAGTGCTAACCATTGCTAAAAAATTTGCAGTGGCACCGACACTTGCAAACCAAGCATTTTTTTCCACATTCCCAGTGGGACTGTCAGGTGATCTAGCAGGGGAAATAGCAGATGAATTTATGCGTGACTGAAACAAAAACCTCTTAGTCAAGGGTATGAAAATAATCCAGAGGTAATGATTAATCTGTACTTAATCTAGAAATTCCTTTGTGATTTAATGTTGCAACTGTGTATACAAATGAGATTCCATGCTTAGCCTAGTACATGTCCATGCTTTCCTTTATTTCACGATCAAATTTTTCACTGTCAAAAACCTTGTATGGTGTTCCAACATCGACTTCTTAACAGTAATATATACTAAGTGACATTCACACACAGATCGCCAAGACGCAAGATGTTTTTTTCAATAAAGGAAAAATTTTTGCTTACAAAACCCCCCACAGATACAAGTAATTTCATTCACTTTAGTCAGATTCAAGACCAATGTTTTTCTGTAATTTAAAAACAAGATGTATAAGTCTTATAAATCTCAGAAGACAAATAGAATGCTCAAAATATCACCTCCTGTTAGCAATTAAAGCAATTCAGCATGTTCCCAAGAAAAAAATCAGCAACACATGCACATATATAAAAATTTGAATCTATCAATCTCTAAATAATTCTCAGCAAGTTTTTACTTCTTGTTGTTCTATTCCTGCTGACAGTGTTATAAAACATAAAGACTACATTTCTTAAGCAAAACAATTAACTAAATCTAGACTTCCACTGTTGTGCAGAAGTATGATGAACTAAAATCCTACTTAATGAGCAAGCAGAAAAGAAAGAACTAAAATCTGAAGGAACTCAAATATGACAGATAGATGTGAATTTGTTGCTGTGGATGTTCATTTATGAAGGAAATTCCATTTACATATGCACCATCTTGTAACTAGAACTCAGAATTTAATAGACTGCTTGCAAATGTGAAATGAAAGCCAATAAGTTTTCCTGGATGATTCCAAATCTGAGACATTAAATTTATAGGAAATTTTAAATTCTATATGTATATTTAGCTATATAGACTCACATTTTGAGTTTTGTTCTATCTAAGAAGTCCTCAACCCATTGTTCTGAAAGCTGCAACGCAAATATTTCTTAGTATTCTACTCATGAACTTGGGTTTAAATTAACAGTTCTTTCCCAACACCATTCCTACACAACCAGGCAATGTTCTTAAATTACTCCTTTGTAGGGTGATCTCCTTTATAAAAGTATATTGCTTTCTGGCATCAGAACTCCACCAAAAGAGTTGCCTGCTAAGCTTAGTCTATCTCCTGATGCATCTACCTGTTCCCCTGAGTGTTAGGACAGACCTTTGTTGGACTTGGAAGATGCTGTACTTCAAGACCTGCTAGCTTTGGTGAACTCTTTTGTTTACCAGTCAGAACTGCCTCCCATGAGATCCTACCCAACAGTTCCCTGACTAAGCCAACATCTTGCTTTCCTTAGGTTCAGGGTCTGTACTCTGCTGCTTGCCTTTCTCACTTCCTTCAGGACAACAAACACCACTATTTCAAAGTTACTACACGACAAGGACGTTATTCATCATCACATCCCCAACCAGTTTTCTTCATATTAATCAACAACAGATCCAGCTATGCATCACCACTGGTTGGTCCATTTACAGCAAGAAATTATTCCTGAAACTCTTCAGAAATCTCTTTGATCGCAACAGCCATATTGCCTCTCTAGCAGCTGTGCCATCAGTCCCCCATGAGAACCAGGGTCTGCAACTCAGAGACACAAGTTCTTTAAAGACTTAATTTGCTTCCTCTTCAGGTGGTCTGTAACAAGCTCCCACCACAATGCCACCCTTACTGGCCTCTCCTCTGATCCTGAGCCACAAGTTCTTAGCCAGACTATCACTCATCCCTCAGGAGAGCTCAAAAGATCTGAATTGCTTATAGAACTGAGGGCAAGTCCCATACCTTCAGCCTCCCCTTCCCAGTCTTTCCCGAAGTCCTTCACAGTACTCCAGTTGCATCACCTTAGCAGAGCATCTGCACCTGAACAGGCATTCAGCGCTCCCTAACCTGGAGTCACCTCTTTTGGCCACAGCCTAGGTCTCAGGGTGCCTCGACCGCCCCTGAGGATGCCAACCTCTTCGTTGCCAGGCTGGCACCTCCACCATGCCCACTCAGTAGCCTGGGGGCAATGTCCTCACAGTGGTGGAACATCCCCACATAGCCCCTTGCCCAAACACAAGCCCAGCTGGATCCCAACCATGGATTGCTATACATCAGGGCCACCACCCTCACCACACATCAGGATGGGGAAACAGCATATACTTCCCCCATCCAGTCCCTTCCTGCGAGACTACGGAGCCACCCTAATTGCCACCTTCGCAGCTCCCCAGCACCAGTGCCACCGTGGCACCACATGGTGGCTTCGCTGGGGCTGGGCTTCTCAACAAACCCTTGGCAGGTCCGTCCCCTCTGGCTATGGGGAGAAACAGCTGATAAATGGTTCATTTGTCACGTTCATGAATCCTAGATATGATTTTACTCTTAGTTACAACACAGGAAATCAGAAATCTCAATTTCATTTCTTACTCCATGTGATCACAATGTACTGCTAACATACCTGTTTCAGACTTTCTTGCTGGGTTTCTCTCAGTTCTTCATATTTCCATTTCCAAAGAAATAATTCATTTTCTATCTTTTCCATTTCTTTTTCCAGAAACATGTTCATTCTGAAAAAGTATTTTAACAGTCAGCATTACATATTTTTGAAACTGAAAACAGACAAATTACTTTGAATTTCCTTTTCATAGCTTGAGTTATATTTTGCTGCCTTTGTCAACTGTATATCTGATTTTTATTAAAAACCCCATATTATCATGATATAATTACTCAAAGACATTTACCAAAAATAACAGCTAAGGAGAACAAAGAAATCCTTTGGTATAGAAATGAAATTTTAAATGAAATAAAATTTTGGGATAAACTGAAGAAAATTTGGAAATAGACTTCCGATGATAGTGATTCAGGTCACTTAATACATGGCAAGATAATGAATATCCTCAGAGAAAAGGTACTGTATCACTTTTATTTGGGGACAGGCAGAAGATTATTTTAAACACACACATACATGGGAATATAGACAGTATGTACACATTACTGAACCCAAACATGATCTACTTTAGATGTAACAAAAAAAAAATAATTAAAATATGTATATTTATGTTTCAAAAAATAATTGCTCTTGAAAGAAAATGCTAGAAGAATTTTAGGAAAATGGATTATTTTGCTCAAAGGTACTGCACCCTCATTAAGCGCGTGCCTCTGGAATGTTATTTAAGCGTAAAATCCATTAGTACATTCAGGAAAAATACTTGGGATACACAATTCACAAAGAAAGAATGAATGATGATTCCACTGGCTGACTGGGAAACTTGAAGTACACATAACCCAGCAACCAGGCATCGTTCTGTGACAAGGCAGAATGGTGGGCACTCATCTGAGAGCAAAGGATGCAGCACCAGCTGGAGGGTCTGCACCATCTACCCCAGTGGTGGCCGATCTCCCCCAGTGGTGGCCGATGCCTCCACCCAGACGGAGCCGCTGAAGGAGAGGCTGCAGCGCAGACCTCAGGCTGCAGAAAGTGCCCAGACCTTTCTCCTGAGGCAGGGAGAGGTGGCAGGCCTGCCTGCAAAAGGTGTGCCCCAGGGGGAGGACCTCCTGCAGCAGGTGGCTGAGCTGCAGGAGGTGGTGAGAAGGCTGCGTAACATCAGAGAGGCTGAGAAGGAGTTGAATAGCTGGCTCCATGCACAGTCTGCAGTAGATCCACAGCCCACGGCCAAACAGCCAAAAACAGAGGCGCCCGTGTGCCGACCTGATGCACTCTCTAGAGAGGTGTGCTGCTTAATGGGGACTCGGATCAGGGATGTCACTGAGACATTACCAAGCTTTGTACAGTCCACTGACTGTTATCCGCTGCTGTTGTTTCACATGGGCACCAGTGACACAGTCAGGAGCAGTCTGAGGAGTATCAAGGATGACAGAGCCCTGGAGGCAGCAGTAAGGGACTCTGGAGCGCAGGTGCCACAGCCAGGGGTTCTGCTACTTAGACCATGGGACTCGCTTTGAGAAACCTGCTCTGCTGGGGGCTAATGGGGTCCATCTGTCAGAGAAGGGGAAGACCATCTTGGGTCATAGGCTTGCCAAGCTGGTGAAGAGGGCTTTAAACTAAAGTTGCCGGGGGAGGGGAACCTCATTCCATCCCACTCCTACCAGTTTGATGCCAGTGCCATCAATAGACACCCAGAGCCAGAAGAAGGATCACAGGCCAGCAGGAGAGCGCTTGAAGTGCAGCACAAAGTAATTCCAGCCAGTAAGTCAGCTTCATTGGGGGCCCAACTTAAATGCCTCTATGCAAACCCAAGTAGCACAGGCAATAAACAAGAGGAGTTAGACAGGTGTACACGCCTGCTGAGTTGTGATCCTATTGGCATCATGGAGACATGGTGGGATGGCTCCTATGACTGGAGTGCTGGAATAGAAGGGTACAGGCTCTTTAGGAAGGACAGGCAGAGGGGATGAGGAGGGGGTGTTGCCCTCTATGTCAATGACCAGCTGGAGTGCATGGAGCTCTGCCTGGGGATGGATGAGGAGCTGACTGAGACCTTACTGACCAGGAAGACTGAGTGGAAGAAGCCCTCTATAGACAGATAGGAGCAGCCTCATAGTCACAAGCCCTGGTCCTTATGGGGGACTTCAACCACCCCAATATCTGTTGGAGGGGTAACGCAGCAGGGCATAAGCAATACAGAAGGTGTCTGGAATGCATTGATGATAACTTCCTTCCCCAGGTGATAGAGGAGCCAACAAGGACAGGTGCCATGCTGGACCTTGTTCTCATCAACAGGGAGCGGTTGGTAGGGGATGTGAAACTCAAGGACACGCTTAGTTGAAATAACAATGAAATGGTGGAGTTCAAGATCCTTAGGGCAGCGAGGAGGGCACACAGCAAGCTCACTACCCTGGACTTCAGGAGAGCAGACTCTGGCCTCTTCAGGGATCTGCTTGGTAGAATACCATAGGACAAAGCACTGGAGGGAAGAGAGGCCCAAGAAATATGGTTATTATTCAAGGGTCACCTCCTTAGCTCAGGAGCAATGCATCCCAGCAAAGAGGAAGTCAGGCAAAACTGCCAGGAGGCCTGCATGGATGAGCAAGGAGCTCCTGGACAAACTCACATGCAAAAAGGAAGCCTACAGAGGGTGGAAGCAAGGGCAGGTAGCCTGGAAAGAATGTAGAGAAACTCTCCAAGCAGCCAATGATCAGGTTAGGAAAGCTAAAGCCCTGATCGAGTGGCTAGGGTTGTTTAGTGCAACAAGAAAAGCTTCTATAGGTACATCAGTGATAAAAGGAAGACTAGGCAAAATGTAGGCCCTCTCCAGAAGGAAATGGGAGACCAGTTTACCCAGAATATGGATAAGGATGAGGTATTCATATATATATATGAATATATGTATTCATATATATAAATCAAAATAAATATGATTTTTTTGCTTCAGTCTTCACTGGCAAGTGCTCTAGCCACATTGCCCAAGTCACAGAAGGCAAAGGCAGGGACTGGGAGAATGAAGCAACGCCCACGGTTCAAGACCATCTAGGGAACCTGAAGGTGCACAAGTCCATGGAACCTGACGAGATGCATCCACGGGTCCTGAGGGAACTGGTGGGTGAAGTTGCTAAACCACTCTCCATCACACCTGAGAAGTCGCGGCCATCCGGTAAAGTTCCACTGACTGGAAAAGGGGAGACATAACCCCCATTTTTAAAAAGGGGAAAAAGGAAGACCTAGGAAACTACAGGCTGGTCAGTCTCACCTCTGTGCCTGGCAAGATCATGGAGCAGATCCTCCTGGAAACTATTCTCAGGCACATGGCGAATAAGGAGGTGATTGGTGACAGCCAACATGGCTTCACAAAGGGCAATGATGCCTGACAAATTTGATGTCCTTCTCTACAATGGGGTTACAGCATTGGTGGAAGGGAAGAGCAACTTAAATTATCTACCTGGACTTGTGCAAAGCATTTGACACTGTCCTGCACGGCATCCTTGTGTCTAAATTGGAGAGACAGGGATTTGACAGGTGGATCACTTAGTGGACAAGGAATTGGCTGGATGGTCGCACTCAAAGAGTTGCTCTCAATGGCTTGATGTCCAAGTCGACATCAGTGATGAGTGGTGTTCCTCTGGGGTCATATTGGGACCAGCGTTGTTCAACATATTTGTTGGTGATATAAACAGTGGGATTGAGTGCACCCTCAGCAAGTTTGCTGACAACACCAAACTGTGTGCTGTGGTTGACACACTGGACGGAAGAGTTGCCGTCCAGAGGAACCTTGACAGGCTTGAGTAGTGGGCCCATGCAAACTGCATGAAGTTCAACAAGGCCAAGTGCAAGGTCCGGCACATGGGTTGAGGCAATCCCAAGCACAACCACAGGCAGGGTGGAGAATGGATTGAGAGCAGCTCTGAGGAGAAGGACTTAGGGGTGCTGAAGGACAATAAGCTCATCATGAGCCGGCAATGTATGCTTGCAGCCCAGAAAGCCAACAGTATCCTGGGCTGCATCAAAAGAGGCGTGACCAGCAAGTCAAAGGTGGTGATTCTGCCCCTCTACTCCGCTCTTGTGAGACTCTACCCAGAGTACTGCGTCCAGCTCTGGGGCTCCCTCCCTGGAAGTGTTCAAGGCAAGGCTGGATGGGGCTTTGGGCAACGTGGTCTAGTGGAGGGTGTCCCTACCCATGGCAGGGGGGTTGGAACTAGATGATCTTTAAGGTCCCTTCCAACCCAAACCATTCTATGATTCTGTGGTTCCCTGGAGAAAGATACTGTATAACTAAAACAATGAACTTTGATATTTACTCCTTTTCTAACCAGTTAAAATATTTTCAGCTATTCAGGAAATTAAGAAAGAAAAATGAAGCTCCAGAGACACTACAGATTTTCTTGTCTTGGAGACAAATTAAAAACTCATTTCTGTGTTCACAGGAAACACTATTGGCCAAGTTCCAAAGATAAGAATGAACTTCTCATAATTTATACCCCATCATAATTTCCTTTTATATTTGTCTAATATGTATGCATCATTGTGCAATTTTGCAAGAAAATAGAATTTGGAACATAATTAAAAGTGAAAGCAAAAATTCTTAATTACAAATAAAAGCTTTCACATTATGTTTCTAACATTTCTATGAAATTGAATCAGAGTTTAAAATTCTCTCATATTCCATTGGCTACAAACATCAATATAGGAATACAGCTTATAAAGTCAGGGTGCTAAAGAAATCTAAAATTTGAAAAACAGTAAAAACACATAAATAATATTATGTTGCGAGATTAACATTTTTCATTATATAAATCCTGTGAAAATGGAGGGATGAAGGGCTATTATACCAGAAAAGAGAAAAATATTGAAATAGTTGGAAAGAAAATTCTAATATTGACAATTAAAGAAACTACTGTATGCTACAGTAATTATTTTCTGTTCTGAGGCTAATGGAATTTATCAGCCTTTTTACTAAAGATATTATTGCCAGGCTTACTGTAACTACATTCTGAAAATATTTGGTTTAAAATACATCTTCCACAACAGCATTGTTAACTTCAAGGAATTAAGGTAAAGGATATTGAGATTTGTCTGGGGCATGTCTATGCAGCATACTGCAGGCTTGCTCAGACATACCAAGGGTTACTACTGACTAGTCTGGCTCGGGTCCTGGAAGCAATGTTAGCTGCGTTAATGAAGCAATCTACTGAAGTATCTTGTTCTCTCTTCTTTTACAGCTAAACCTAACGCTCTTGAACCAGGGATCTCCTTTTTCTGCATAGATATAGCACATAGCACAGCTTATCTCTGTAAACACCTATGGGTCCCATAACATTATAGTAAAACAATAAACAACATCACTCAAAAAGCAAAGTAGAGCAAGATGACTTCTGTCATATGTAAAGAACCTAAGATATGCATTTCAACTGAATAGTTTTTTTTTCTAAAGTAATGGGATATCTCGGTGGAATGGTATCATAACTTCATCGGAGAACTAAAAAAAAAAATATTAAGAGGGATGTTTAATACAGTAGAAAGTGAAAGCATGAAAGATGGCGGTATAATACATTGAGTAACAGTCTATTGACTGTACTGAATGCATTGAAAGTCCTTAGAAACGTTCTAATCAGAAAAGTAAAAGAGGAATCTCCAGTATGCAGTGTTTACTTAGAAGATACTACTTTTGTTTTGAGTTACAGTACCTCTTAAGTAAGATCAGGTCCCTCTGATGCTACTAAATGAAACAGATGATCCTGACTACATAGTTTACTATTTAAATAAAGAAAAAAAAGAGTGGAAGAAAGAATATAGCAGAGATCAGTGAAGCAGCTTATTACTGCTTAAACAAAAGATCAAGATCAGAGCATTTTTAATGGATCCTTTAACCACCTATTTTAACTTCTTGTCTTCTAGTTAAATCACAGAATTACACAGAATGGTTGATGTTGGAAGGGACCTCTGGAGGTCAACTGGTCCAGCCCTCCCTGCTCAACCAGGGCTACCTAGAGTCAGTTGTCCAGATGGCTTTTGAATGTCTCCAAGGATGCGTACTCAACAACCTCTGGGCAATCTGTGCCAGTGTTTGGTCACCCTCACAGAAAAAAAGTGGGGTTTAATGCTCACATGGAGCCCCCTATGTCCATTGCCTAAGTCTACCCATCCAGCCCATGGCAATTCCTCTTCAATATTGATTATCAGCTACCAGTGTAGTTGATGGGCTTTTGGTTTCGGACCAAAGAAATACTTTTAAGTTCAATGTGGAACAAATTAAGATCTTGAAACTAGAAGACACTTAGATGAGAATATTGATTGAAAAGATGACTAAAGATAGCTATTTTAGGCAAATGATTCTTTGAAATGCTGAATTCATAAGGTCTCTAATTCCCATTCATGTCAATGAGACCTCAAATGTGTATTTTATATAAGCCATAGTGCCTCGTAGAGGATTTTGGTGTGTGATTTTACATTTTAAACCCAACCCTGAAGTTCTCTGAAAGTCAAAAAATAAACTTTGAACTCTGTTTTTGGGGATTTTTTTAGAGCTCCTTTCTTTTTATATTTTGCAAAGCCTGATCCATGCCTTAAGGGTATATTGACATTACTGAAGATAGCTCTAAACAGAATGCAAGAAGTACCGGTCCTCTCAGGATAAAGAAGCAATCTCTCTTATGGAGAGATCAGTCAGGTAACTAGGGGCAAGTCCAAACACTGGATCTGCATGAGCAAACTTGACTCTGGAAAGAATGAGGCCACAGTTCTTGAGTACTGCATGTAAACCAGAAAACTGCTGAGAAGTCCAGTGCTGAATGAGTAAGATCATACTGACTGCCAAGGTAACCTTTGGCCTTGGGGTTCAAGCTGTCTGTGATCCAAGCTTGCTTTTGATGCAGCACAGCTGTGGGTCCTTGGCTCAAGTTTACTGAGAAAATTGCTAAGTTGGGAGGAAGAAGCTGTGAGAAAGTACTTGAGCTAAAGCTATGCAAGATAAGAAAAGTAAAAATGCAAACATGGGTGAGATTGTTGAGATAGTCATTATTAGCAGCTTCAGGATCCAGGAGCAAAAATACTGACATGAACAAGTATAAAACCCTAAGAGGAAAAACTGGGAATCTAGGACGGAGACTCAGCAAAATAAGCCTATTCCAGTAAGCAGTGCAGACCAACCCTTTCTGAGCTGGCAGATGACAGCCTGTCCAACAAAGACTCATAGGGTGTCTCAAGAGACTGGTGACTATGTTAATGCTTATCTTACTAACATTATTCCTAGCGATTCATTGTGTGCATTGCCAAAAATTATTGCTTCATACTTTTCAGTTGCATATATTCTGCTTATGGAACATCTTTGCACACAGAAAATGTTAACCAAAGTGTCCTAGAGAGGGAATTGTTATACCAATGCCTGCTGTTATGTGGAAATCACTGCTCTGTGAGCATTTGCTGCCTGCGGTTGGCACTGTCTTCTACTGCATAGTGTAGACATGCCCCAGTTTTTACCTTGTGCCTGTAAATTTATTACCATATACCACAATCAGTATATAGGGAGAAGTGGCAAAATCTGTCTCTCTGAAGTACACTTACAAATTGGTTAGAGAGGTACATGAAAAAAACCAAAACCAAACCAAACCAAAAAAACAAAACCAGAAGGTAGAACCAGGGTTTATTAAAATTTTGTCTAAGATGTCATTACAAAATAAGAGTTGAAAAATTATCCCCTTTCTAAAAGGAAAGTTTTATATATGGTTGTATGTATACTATGATTGCTGTTGAAAAATTAAGTACCTAGAACCCTAAATATTTCAACCAGATGAAAATGGCTATGTGAGGCATCAGTTTCTTAACTCACATATACAAATACTATGACAAACTGGAAAATTTAGGCATTCTAGAATTTTTGTTTCCACAAAAAAATAAATCCTTTTTAATGAGATAGACCGTACTTCTGGTCATCTGCTGCAATATGATTCAGATAAAGAATTATTGTATGTTTTCTACAGCTATTTAATTCATATAACAGAACACAGTAAATACTAGTTAGGAATTTAAAGGATTTTTTGGGTTTTTTTAACTCAAATTCGTACTATCTACAGGAAAACTGTGAAAAAAAGCTGACAGGAGATAAACTCTTCACCATAGCTTACCGTTACAGACTCTCTGAACTGAAACTGTTGAGCATATTTGCCATAGAGGGAGAATTTTCTTCCTTTTCATTTTCTAATCAACTTCAGCTGATTTTGAAGTTACAGCCACATAGTGCCTGAAGTCTCCTACTACATCCATCATACATCACATACTGCATGTTTCCTTGGAAAGCCTTTTTTTGGTGTGATTCAATCTTTCTCAGTATTGATCATCTATATGAAATATCAAGGAATTCCTACCAAGACAGAGACTCACATGCTAGCATATAGTGTGTAATCAATGTACGAATTCTTTTAGACCACCAAAATTAACATTTACTATTTATATGAGGTAAATTTGATATCATACAATAAGTGTATTATTGTCTCTGTTAGCGGCTTTTGACATAGATCTTACTACAGGTGAAGAGGTTAAAATTAACAGCATTTTGCAGCTGTATTCATGCACTTTCAATTCAAAAATAGCCTTAGTCCTTCTGAAGTTACACTCATTCAAAGTTTACTGGTAGAGTATATGAAAATTTGTTATTATGCACAAAGAACAATTGAGCATAACATACATTAGATAATATGCATTGATATAAAATTTTTATATTTTTTAATTCACTGTACATTCTTAACAGTTCTGTATGAAACACTTATTTAAATGACAGACAAGCCAAGAAAAAACAATAAATACACTATTGTGAAATGTCTCCAAACATGGAAACATTGATTTTCAATACTGTTAAGAAAAAAATAATACTTACGCTGAATTTTCTCTCTAAATTCTTATCAAATTCTTGTAAATAGCAATTAATAAAGCTTAGAAATGAGAATATATGAGCTATAAATGCAAATATTACCATATCTATTTTAGAAAGTGTCTTAAAAATTTTTATTTTTAATACTGATTTCCCGAAGTAAGATATATTTTGCACTTACTCTCTTTCCTTCTGTAAGATTTTCTGCATCTCAGTCAAATGCAAATGCAAGATGGAAACATGTATTAAATCATTCTCTGCTGTCTTAGCTGTATTGTCCAAACATTTTTTAGGTTGTTCTAAACAGATGCTGGGAGCTCCATTGGGAAAGAAATCAGGAGGCTTTGGAGTGATTTTTTTACAGTGATTGCTTTGGTCTTTGATTACCTCTACATCCTGAAAAAACAGAAAAATATGACATCTGAGAAAAACATAAATGAGGCGAAAAGGATAACATAACTTCTGTAGGGAATACCAAGGCTCTTCTAGAAATTTAAGTCACATCATAGGAGAAAAAAGGGAATAAGTAATGTCTTGTATACTTGCACTGTATATGGATAGAATGTGCCAAAAAAAAGTCATTTTAGTTGGATCACTATCATTTTGTAACATGTCTCACACCTTCTGTTATGACAAGCTTCATACCTAAAATATTTCTAATCTATCTTTACTATAGAAATAGATTTCAGTTATCATTAGTTGGCTATAATTACGGTGAAGACAATCCTGGACCTAACAAAACTAGGAATGCAATTTATGCATACAAATGATATATTGAGAAACTGTACATTAAGAACACTTAAACTTCTACTGTAAACCATGTTGAAGCAGGTGATGGACTTATACAAGTTTTGTATAAGGAACAAAGTTATCTGTGTAACATACCAATTTGGATCCCATTCAGAAACTAAAAGCACTATAATATCTAATTTGAAGATACATGTTTTACACACAAAACATAAGCAAAACTAATAACAATTAGAAAATTGTCTGGCCTGAAACCTCCCTCATTAAAAAATAAAATACATTTTTTTTAGGAATACTGAACATCTCTTCTAAATAATGGTTTCCTTTAGAAATATATTTATCATCTCTGATGAACTGTGTTTAAAAGCTCATCTCATTTTAACAGATTAACAACAGAACGGTTTCATACCACTCTGTTCTTTTGAGTTTTTAGAAGTATGCCTGAAATTTACATCTGAAAATATTAAAAGCTGCTGAAAAGGTTAGCCTGTTTTCCATTCATGTATAAAGTTTCAGTTTTCAAGTAGTACATTATTTTGATACTAAGGGGAGAGAGAGAGACTTAAAATATATTTTGTGTAATTTTCTTCCTATGGCCCATTTGTCTGCCTAAAAATATGAAAGGCCTGCTTTTTTTTTTTTTTTTGCCAAATTTATTCTCACTACTAACACTATGGTGGGTTTTTTTCAGAATTCACAGGAATATAATGTAATTTATGTGCATTACAGAGTGAGTAAAAATTCTGAATGTAATACATTTAGGCCTAAGATCTTGATAATTTTTATTAAACTGAAGTAAAAAAATTCCTATCTCTACAATGACTACTATCTGTCAGACAAATAACAAGTATAGCTTTTACATGGTGCTGTCTATGAAGACTGTATAATGCATGACAAGGCACAGAATTAAAACTGGTAAAACAGGAGCAAGTAGTTCCATTTTGATGAATATAATTGGTTCTTTTGTACAGAACTTGGAGCTGTATTAAGCCATGCCCATACTTGATTGTTTAATTCTGCGTAGCAACTTAACTGCTCTCCTTGCCAAATAAATTCTACTTTGCAGAAGAATTTGCCTCACCTCTTCCCTTATTTCATAAGTTGTGTTAAGGGAGAATTACATTATTTTATTTTAGAAGCCAGGAATGTACATTGCTTTTTTTTGGAAGTAAAAAAAAAAAAAAGTACATAAAACACGGAGAATTCAGATAACAGAGGTAATCTGTTACCTTAAAACATGAGAGAGAGTCAGAACAATAATCTAAGTTACTTGATATAACAGTCCACCCCTGTTACTTAAATGTTCAGTCATAGTTGAAGGATATGAATTGTTTTCCATGCTTCTTTATATTAGGAATATTAGATAGGTGAAAAAAGTGAGTTTACTATTGAATGGATCAGGTAGTATTTTGGTCAAAATTCTTGAAAAATCCCATTTCTAAATACACATCCATAATCTCCCACTTCTTCACGAACTAAAAAAATTACCCATTCTTTACCTTCTTTGAGTCTTCTGCCCCACGAATCTTGCTGGTTTTGCTCAGTTCTTTCATAGATTCTTGTTCCAGAAACATTAACTGGTTTAGGTCTTTTTTAATAGAAGATAATTCTGAGCAACTTAATTCTGTTTTCCAAGCAGTTACATTTTCTAAGTTTTCCTTCTCACTTACTAAATCTTGATTTATTTTTTTAAGCATACTCAGTTCTTTTACAACACTGTCTAATTTGATTCTCAATTGTTTTGCTTCCTCTCGGGCTTTATTTCTTTCTGCTCTAACTTTGCTCCATTTCTCCCTCCAGTTAGCAGTACAATCTGACCACCAGCGCATGGTCTTCTCCATTTGGGCAGCTCTGGCTTTGACTTCTTCCAGTTCCCGAATTCTTACTGCTTCAAAAATTTCCCAATCACTGCTGTAATTTGTATGCATATATGGGCAATGAGATGAATATGGGCAGAAAGTTTGAGATGGCATATTTGAATTACACAGATGGCCACCTGGTTGGCAACTTCCAGATAATTTATAAGGTTGTCTTGTTTGGGTTCCAAAAACCTGTGTCTCTTCCATTAGTTTCTGAACGGAGCCTAAATTCATGTTTTGATTCATAATCTAATTTCACTCCTATAAAAAAAGACAAAGACAATAATTTAGCTTCCCTCCATTAAATTATATGAATAACCTCAAACAGTAGTTTATTTTATTGCTATAATAATGAGATAATCTTAATAATACTGTTGATGTTTTAAAAATGTGCCTCATCAACAAGAAATAGCTATTAAAATATATTTTATGTAATACTTTTTGAGTACAGCGTAAACAGACATACCTATTGACTAGGAATTGCTAGCGAAGGAAGTGTCATCAAATAATTACAGCATGCTCAAAAATTTTTGAGTCTAGATAAACCAGGCAAAAGCTTTTTTCCTTCAAGACAAGATTAAATTGAATCAATATGTATTTAAAATATCTAGTAAGAGGAAAGTATTTGTCTATAACCACAATCACAGATTCACTTGCCTTCTTTCACTGTGGAACTTCATACTAGGCACAACTTACCTTATAATTTACCTATCTAAGTAAAATAAAAACAAAACAAAACAACAACAAAAAAAATCCCCTGACCTTTGGATTTTCTTTGTTTCATGAGAAAAAGCAAGCATTTTTATAGAGGGCTTTATTTTGCTGTCTATATTCCAGAAGCTGTCCAGGAAGTATATTTTTACATTATTCTTAAAAGGGTAGCACTATCCTACTGTACTGTATGGCCTACCTCATCATGATATGACTCTGCTAGTAAATCTTGTTGCATTCCTTTTCATTATTTATCTGCTACTATTCATTCAGCCCAGAGGAAAATCAATGTCTCAGAAATTGCTTTCCCACCCCAGTGCTGAGAAAATGTTGATGTGGACAGTCTGCACAGACTTATATCTTCTTGTTTTCTCCTCTTGAGTATCTTCAAACAAACAAACAAACAAACACACACCTAAAATTCTTGCTATACCAGTAGAAGACTAAGTTGTTTAAAGGAAAAAAATTGCTCCTATATTCCAACATCCATCTGTAAAAAAATCACTAAATGAAATGTAGAAGGCCAATGCAGTGAACAAAGCACTGAGGAGTTGGTAGTCTTGGCATTATGATTAGGTTGTGTTTCATTTCAGCTGAATAGACGTTTTTGCAGTTTTTGGTTCCAGTTTCTCAGCTGTTTTCAACTTTTCAGGACATTTATTTGTCATTTTTAAGAAGCTTCTAGAGAATTGTTGTAATCAAGTATGGACATGAGAGAAGAGAAGGAAAAGGACAGTAAAGGACTCCACCTCTCTTCATTATCACTGTCTGGTGTAGCACCACCACCACAACACTACACAGATATAGAACAGCCGCTGCCAAAGCTTGATCAAGGTTGGGTCTTCTTCTTGTTGCCTGACCTACTTCTAGAAATTCCTGGGGGGAAAAAAATTTAATCCTGTTACCCCATTCCAAATAAGATACATCTCTCCATATTGCTTATTATATAAAGATGAAAATGATGTGAAAACTCTTCCCCACAGAATGGATTCATAGTGTATAGCTAAGACCTATTTATGAATTCATTTATGAAGCCAAAATGAACCAACTAAATAAATAAAATATGGAGCAGCCTACAAAATAGGACTACAGTCATTATCTCTATTTTAAGTGATTTCTCAACTTTTAGAACACAGCATAAGCACACTAAGCTTCTTTGTTCACCATTTCTTAGAGATAAGCAGGATTAATGCTGATGTAAATTTCAGACACACACACGTTTCAACAAAGTACTACAGATGTCACCTAATAACACACATTATACTTGCCCAAGGTTTTGATTTCTCCACAAACTTCTAAATTAAAGTCGGGTGAAAAGAGGACACTTCTCAACTGGAAGATAGTCAAAGGAGTTTTCTTACTATTGAAGAATTATTTGCTCTTTCATCTTGCAGTAAGGTCTTCATCAAAGAGGATTTTTTTTTAATATATATATAATTGCTTAATTTAAAAAAAAAAAAAAAAACACAAAAAACCCAAACCAAACTGCAAAGAGATAAAAACCTGTAAAGAATTCAAAATCTGGTGGCTTTGTAGAATCATTCCTCTATTTTTTCTTATTAGTGCTTAAAATATAATTCAAATAAATAAAGACTTGTAGTACAGGTTGACCAAACTGAAGAACATTCTTGTCAGTTTGTAAGATAAAGACTTAGGAAAAAAAAAGAAAAAAAAGAGAAAAAAGCTAGAACTGCACCAATTCTTCTGTTCAGCAGCTAGGGTAACTTATTGAAGAAAAGCTCTGATACTGATGAAGGCATATTGTATTTATATTAGTAAAAACTATCAATAAACTGGTATCAGACCATGAATAATCTTAAATGTCAATGAAGTAGATACAGTAGGTTAATGACTAGAACAATAGATGTCTTTGGTGTTCCCTTTGACAGAAGTCAGTCAAATAGCAAATCATTAATACACACTTAAATTTCCCAACTTTTAAAATGAGCATAATTTACGGTTTGAAGCACTTATTGAAAACACTGCCAAAGAATGATGAAGTATTATTGCTAGGTGTTCAAATATTTTTTTCTTTTCAAATAGAAAGACAGCACTGAAGGGTCTACACCTGAATCCGTAATTGTTGTATTGGAAATACAAATTTGAAATATTTTGGTGTTTCACTATGTAGATACACATGCAAATTTTCTTTAGCCAGGTAGTCTGTTTTCACCCTGCTATATTTACAAATTAATGGCTTTCATTGCTTGTGGACAGATTGCCTCGTTCTGTCCCCTTTGCACACAATACAGACAATCAACTATTATCACTGAAGCACAGACGAAGTGATGAAGCCAAATTCTCCAAAATAAAAGAATGAAAAGTGACTAGAGCCCATGATTCACTGAAGGATTTCCAGATCTCTATTTCACCCATGGGATTTTTTCTATGCAATTTATCTTAGAAGTTTTATCACTTGCTAAAAACAATAGAGGTGTACAAAAATGCAATATTTCTTTGAATACTTTTAGATTTATTTTTTGTTAGTGAGCAAGGTACAGTGACGGCTTCTTAATTTAAGAAATACTTTATAATTTAACATTACATTTAACATGAGACAACATGAGTATATAGAATGTGGGAAGCATGATTCATGACTTATTCTGATTTTATTAATTTAATAATAGTCTCAATAAAAAAAAAAAAAAACTAAAGAAAAAACCTAACCACACTACTGTTTTTACTTTGTTGAATTTCCATTTCATTTTATAGTGAAACATCCACAAATCTTCTGCATATACTCTGGTTTAACTGAAGTAAAAGAGTGTTTTCCCACTGGCATTAATGAAAGTAGTATTTTCTACTTTGCAGAAGTACTGTACTGCACTGCTGCTGAAAAGATAGCCCCTCCTTTCTCACACATGTATCTACACGTTCTTGATTATGTAGTTTTTCCTCTTAGTAAAAGCAGTGAAATAATCAGATCAAACAGATACAACATTCACAGCTAGTCATTTTTCAGCTTCATCAGAGCCCTCATATTTTTCTAATGGCCACATGAAACCTATTGTTTCCACAAAAAATGGCACAGAAATATGAGATGGAAGGAAAGCAGGACTGTCCCTTTTGGCAGCATCACAAAACTGCATTCAATTTATATGGCTAGGAGAATTACCTAAGTAATATCCAGGGAGCAACAGCCAAGAGTTTGTGAACAAAACAAAACAATCTATATATTGTATACAAGATTATATTTAAAACACAGTATTTGACTTTTGTGAGCATATTGCTTGAAACTGAAAGAGAAGAACGTATTTCAGTGATGACTAGAACAAATTTGTTCTCCTGTGGAGAAAAGGCTTGGGCAGGAACGTTTTTTTTTGCCTAAAGCGAGTTTTTGCCTCCAAACTTCCTTTCTTGGGAAAAAATGACGATGTATCATGCTGATCCATTATGGTAACCCTAGCTGTCAGGTTAGTCAATCTCTACAACCATGGGTGAGGAGAGGAAACGAACTACCCTTTAAACTGTCACACTTCATTGTAATAGTATTTCCAAACTTTTTTTAAAAAAAAATTATTTTCTAGAAAAATCCTAGAATGTCTAGAATTGGATTTTTTAATGTAATGTTTCTGTTTTCTGCAGATATTTTCCAGAAACCTTTTCATTTGATCAGACTAATGAGTGTTAAAATACAAGGCTAATAGCATCAAGGATGAATATTCTTCTGCAGTTAGTTTAATATTCATGTCTGAACAAAGGAACTCTGTTGCTAGAGTTGTAGAGCAACTCTGGTAGAATTCCTATTGCCATTTCTATTTCAACTGTGAATGATTAAGACTTGTGCTTCTATCTATTTTAAAAGAAATAGAATAAAATATTAGTCTTGAAAGGAAGCAAAGATTTAAAAATTAAAAAAATGTGTTGATTATTATAAAAGTACCTGAAATGTTCAGCACCTCACGGTTCCAGAAAAATACTTCACTGATGAAATAATA